GTTGACTACCGCCGTCTGAACGACGTTACGAAGAAGGACAATTATCCCTTGCCAAGAATTGACGACACGCTGGACATGCTTACAGAAGTAAAGTGGTTTAGCACGTGGGATCTAAAAAGTGGCTATTGGCAAGTTGAAATTGACCCTAAGGACAAGGAGAAAACTGCGTTCTCGACGGGAAAGGGTCTGTGGCAATTTAAAGTAATGCCGTTTGGGTTGTGCAATGCTCCAGCAACGTTTGAAAGGCTGATGGAACTTGCACTTACCGGGCTAATTGATCGCCTGTCTGGTCTACTTGGATGACATCATCATCGTGGGCCGTACATTTGAGGAACACCTTCAAAACCTGGAACGCGTGCTCGTGAAGATTCAGAGTGCCAACCTCAACTTGAGTCCGAAGAAATGTTCACTATTCAAACGGCAAGTCAACGTTTTGGGGTATGTAGTGTCGGAAGAAGGTATCCGCACGGATCCGGAGAAAATCGCCGCTATCAAGGATTGGCCAGTTACAAAAGACAAGACGCAGGTTAGAGCATTTTAGAGTTTGTGCTCCTATTATCGGCGATTTCTGAAGAACTTTGCAGATATATAAACCTCTGCACAAGCTAAGCTACTGGGATGAAAGTTGCAATATCGCATTCCAGGAGCTCAAGGACCGTCTGTGCAAAACACCTATTTTGGGATACCCTGATGCAAGCAGAGAATTTATAGTTGACACAAACGCAAGTGATATAGGACTTGGCGGTGTGTTGTCTCAATGGAATGGTGAACAAGAGGTCGAAATAGCGTCGAAGGACTTCAGTAAGTCGTTGCCAAAACCGGAAAGGAACTATTGTGTCACAAGACGCGAATTGCTAGCTGTGGTAAAGTCGTTGCAGCATTTTAGCAAATATCTTCTGGGATAGAAATTTCACTTACGAACTGACCGTGCTGCACTAAAATGGCTATTGCAGTTTAAAAATTCAGAAGGACAAGTTGCGAGGTGGATTGAACTACTGCAGGAATACGACTTTGAGATCGAACATCGCAGCGGGAAATCTCATGGCAACGCAGATGCATTGTCAAGAAGACCTTGTCCTGAAGATTGCAAACGTTGTACAAGAGAGTAAGGAAGTGGTATCCGTGAGGATGCTCAGGACAGACCACCTCAGTAACGAGTGGAAGGACAGCTTACAACATGCACAGCAGGAAGATCCGGACATCAAGCCGATTCTGTAATGGATGAAGGCCAGTGCTCCCAAGCCCAAGTGGAGCGACGTCTCAGCGATGAGTTCGACAACTAAAAGCTATTGGGCCCAGTGGGACAGTTTGCTGCTTCAGGTGGAGTTTTGTGCCGTAATTGGGAAAATGTTCGGGGAAACAGCTGTCATTTGTAAATGGTTGTCCCTAAAGCTAAAGTACCGGATGTTCTACAGCTGTACCATAATAATTGTTCAGGAGGCCATCTGAGAGTTAAACGAACTCTACTGAATATCTGAGAACGGTTTTACTGGGTCCACTCTCGCAACGATGTCGAGGACTGGTGTCCCAAATGTAAGAGTAGTGCGGCTGTAAAAGGACCTCAGACTCGTAATAAAGGTGCATTGAAGTTGTACAAATAGCTATTGACGTGGCGGGGCCGTTTCCGGAGAGTGAAAGCGGTAACAAGTATTTCATGGTTGTGATTAATTACTTCACTAAGTAGCCAGAAGTCTTCGCCATTCAATGAAGATTCGCAAATCAAGAAGCTTCAGTTGCAGATAAACTAGTTCATGAAGTCTTCTGTCGTTTTGGAGTACCTTTAGTGATTCACAGCGATTAAGGAAGGCATTTTGAGTCTCAAATATTCCAGGAAACTTGCCGAGTTATGGGTACTCATAAAACAAGAACGACTTCTTATCACCCACAATCTGATGGAATGGTAGAACGATTTAATCAGACATTGGAGAGGTGAGGTACCTAGCAAAAGTTGTAGATTTGAGATTGGGACAAGCACACACAACCGTTTTTGTTGTCATATCGAAGCGCTGTTCACGAAACTACAGCAGTGACACCAGCTTTCGCAAACTTTGGAAGAGAATTACGTCTGCCTGCAGACCTGATCAACGGGATACCACCTGATGCCCCACGCAGTATAACCGATTATGTATATGACTTGCGCAACAAAATGAATGACATTTATGAGCACGTCAGACAATCGGGCCAGCAAATGTCCGAAAAGATGAAAACCCGGTATGACCGCAAAATGAACAACAAAGGGTTCGAAGAAGGTTCACTAGTGTGATTGCACAATTCAGTCCGCAGCAAAGGGAAATCTTTTAAGTTTCAAGCTAAATGGGACGGCCCGTACCGGATTGTGACCAGGATCAACGATGTAACCTACCGGATACAGAAAGGCGCAAGAGGGACTCCTAAGATCGTCCATGTGGAACACCTGGCGCGTTATCATGGGGCCGATAATGCTCGGGACGAGCATGTCTTAGGAGGGGGCAGTGTTGCGCGCCTAAGTTGACGTCTGGTGCCTGGCACTGACGCCATCTAGTGTCGGGGACCTGAGCGAGGAGGGCTTCCTAGAAAATGTCAATCTTGAACTTTCCACCAACAGCGCCACCTAGTATCGAACAGAAGAATTAAGCTTTATAGTAGCCCCACACTCGAACTTTCTGCGCCTGGTCGGTCGGCGCCCGTATTTTCTGGAGCATTCTGGATGTTTCGGTGGAAAATGTGTATTTAAAGCCGCTGCAAACCGCGATCGGGGCAGTATTGAATTTGGCGAGACAAGCGAAGCTTCGGAGCGAAATAAAGTGAATCAGTGTGATTAATTATTAGTGTTTTTTAAGATTTAATTGGTGTTCGGTGATAAAAGTGTAAATTTTGGTAATTCAATCGGCAGTTTTTATTGTTACGAACCTCAAGCTCGTAACAATATGTTGCATACTAATCAATCAAACATTGTTATGCAGACGTAAAACACTAGTGATGTCTTGATACCGGTCGTGCTAATATTTCTCGGGAATACGACAAACTTTTCTAAAGTCGAGTCTATCTAAATGTTGTCTAGTTTAAACCTCACAAGGCACGGTTGCTTTTAGGATAATCCGCCACTGACTGCTACCTGTAGAATTGAGTTGACTTCTATATGTTTCGTTTCCTGAAATTTGGTTCATAATAATATTTAAAAAAATCTCAAAAAATATGCTTTGTTATCCCGTGATTTCCTGTTGACGATCTTCTTCTCTCCTCTCTCCATTGTTCCTACCTTTCCTCCTCATTTAAATTGCAGCCATAACTTCAAATATATTTTTTATCTCGAAAAGTATGCTTCTCCACAAATTATTCCCACGCCGGGGGTCTCTCTATTTAACATCATCGTTATAATATTGACACATTGGATCGAATGTTAGCCAAAGACCATTCAATCCCAAGAATCAATCGTTACGTTTAATGACAGCCTAGAATGATTCAAGGTCCAATGTGGCAGAAAGGCTGAAACAAGAGCATATAGTATTTATAGTGTTCAAAGATTTTTTATATCACTACAATTGTATTCAAGAGCCGCAAAAAGGTTAAATTATTTTTTTTGTTACTCCGGCTTATATTTTTATAATAATCACTGCAATCTTCACGTCAAGCATCAATAGATGATGTATGGGTCAAGCGTAACGTCATGCGTCAGTAGATGATGTATGGATCCATAGTAGGTATGGAGTTTTATGAAAATGATAAAGATATAAAACTAGAATTTTTGTGTTTATATTTTAAACGTTCATTAACCAAATTATCGTGGAAAAGCAAAGTATCGGGTAAGGTTTACAATTCAGTCGCCTGAATTAGGGGGTGGGGGTGGTATGGGAGAGGGGAGGAGTTGTAGAGTCACCCCCTACTTCCCCTTCCTGCCGGACGTGCTTAGTTTTTTTTATAAATTTTTAAAATTCTCATTTTGAGGTTATTTTTCGTAATTTTCATGACAATTTTAACCTGATTTATGGGGAGAGAGAGTTGGGGGACGGAAGCCCCACGCCACTTAACGTGGTGCAGTCGAGGGAAGCCCGGTCGACGGAGCCCCGCTACGCGAGGCTCCTGCTTTTCAGTGGTTTATAAACAAATAACCACGAAGAGGATGACGGGGTCTATTCGCTATACGCTTTGCTCGCTCACTCGACCCGGTCATCCCTTTCTAACCTAACCTGTCCGAGTCGGAGTGACCCACGTCCCAGGCTCGCTTCGCTCGCTATTGCACTCAATATAACACCAAAATATTAACTTTTATAACTATTTTAATTTATAAACATAATTCATGGCTGCCACCATTTGTAAGAAAGGATCTTTGCGCCAAAATTCTGAAACTGGGAAGCAACGGCGTGACTACTTCTACACTCCATAGGCATGACGAAAAGCTGTCAACAAAATGGCCGGCCTAGCGATTAGTTTTACACATTTTTAAATCGGTTCGAAACGAAATTGGGTGAATCGATTCACAAAAAATCAAAATCTTAAAGATCGATTTCGCAAAAATCGATCTATTTTTGATTTGCGTTAAAAGTTTGTATTTACAATATCAAAAGATACAATAAAGTACAGATAACATTGAATGATTGAATTAAAAACTGTCATTCTTTACGAGTTGGGGTACATTCAACTAATTGTAAATAATTTATAAATCTTAATAAAACAGAAAAAGATTCGATCTCGATTTTCTAGGGTGAAATATCGATTCACTCGATCGATTCGGTACTATATATCGATATGACATTGACAGATGAAACATCAAAAACGTGAGAATATTTATTGAATTAGTCATTTAGCAATATTTTTAAAAAAATAATTAAAAATACTTCGACGCTGCTCCGGCAGCAAAAATCGCGTGGGGGTACTTCAGATAAACCCCCTTGACCACCCACAGTGACAGAATCTTCAAATTCAGGCGACCGAATTGTAAACCCAACCCAAAGTAATCTATAAATCTATAATCTAAAAGTGGTTACTATGTAATTAAAATATGTTTGCAAACTTGGCTACAGCATCAGGACACATGTAGAGCACTTTGCCGATGCCTTGTAGAAGCGTGTCGATGTCATGAAGCTAATCAGAACTATTGCTCGCATCTTATTCCTCTGGTAAGTATAAAGTATGTAAATTTAACAAATGCTAACTAAACTTAATAATAAATCCACCATTACAATGAACCGAGTTGTGGCAGTGTAAGAATATTCATATCGTCCCGTTGGTGTCGTAAGAGGCGACCAAGTCAAGCAAACTAGAAGATGGACAGCGTCTAATAATGACTAGAAAATATAAACCCGTACGCGACGACGGTGTTGCTGGATAAAAAAAAATTTGCTGAATTTTAAGCAAAATGTTAAAAAACCATGTTTGTTTGGTATTCTCATAGCGATACCGTGTGCTCCTTTTGGATCGAACAGGATGTTTTTACATATTAGCGGTAATAGTGTAGGTATTTATTTTATTTTTATAAATTCCATAAAGTATAAATTAAAGAAAAAGAATAAGTGAGTATTTATTTTAAAATGATAATCATTTGTTTGGCTTATTCTTGAATTTTTTTAATAGCACATTGCACACTTTTTTCAGTGCGTCCAACGATGTCAACACGGAAACGAATACTTATTTGATTTGCTGCAAAGTTTGTTAAGTAACAACGAACGTAACATTCGATTGTTTTATGAATGTGGCGGCAAAAATATATTTGCTAGGTCTGTATGAATTTATCTATTTTTTGTTGCTTTTTCCGATTAGATTTTTTTTAGCGAAAACTAAAAAAAAATACTGTACTCTTCTACTTTAATGTTGAATTAAACTAAAATAATAAGCAATGTGGTGATGGTGAAAAAAATACATACCTCCATTTTCAGGCACCTTATAACACAGTATAATGAATAATTTTGTCGGGTTGCCCCTTTTTTTTCGTTTCCGGTGTCATATACATGAGGACTGGCAAGACCCAATCGTTTTATGCCTGTGTCTTATTTACACGCTATGTTACACGCTCGACAAAAGGATGTCAAGCACTTTGATCAAGTGTGCATAAAACAGATCGCAAACTGATTGTTTCATGTCCATTTTGTGACGTACCCAGGTATGGGTATGTTTTAGGCTCAGAAAGAGTCCTTATGTTGATGGGCACAGATAATTCTATGCCCTCAGATTTAACTACCCTACCCCTCTCAACATGGAGGCAAATAATTTGAGATCATTCATATAGAAAAGGTGGGTCACTTTTTTAACCCCTTTTCGAAACTAAGATTCCCTCCCAGAGCCCTCCAGTAAGGTACTGAAGAGGGTTCAGAGAGAGGAAGATACCCCTATGTGGCTTTAAAGAGGTGGTTTTTAAGAGATGTTCACGGGCTTAAGCCGAGGTCGTCGAGGTGTCTTCTTGCAAATATTTTTGGACAATAAGGCACGTGTTGAGGATAGCTAATCAAATCGAGTGGAATCGAGGAGTAGGACAAACATTTTGTGATCACACCAGTACTGGAGAGCACCAGCGGCACAATATAAACTTTTTATTATTATTATTTTTATTTCATACAGTGTGTTTTATGATACGACTATTGGATAGTCTGATAGCTTATAGCCATTAATAGCGTTTTACCATTTCGTATATAAGTAATAGATATAAAATATCCGCGACGGGAAAATCTATTTTGAGAAAACTCAAAAACAAAATTTCGAAAATATGTTTTTTGGAATAACTTTTAAGCAGATGTAACCATCTATTCCAAAATCTAATCAGCTCTCAAACTTGAAAAACGACGTCGATTGCTGCAAGCCGGTGCCGGCGGGAATCAAACCCTGGTTGCTCGCGTACTGTAAAGTTCACAGCGTGAAATTTCATAAGGTGGTAGCTCAGGTGCTATGCGCTCTCTGTAAATTTCATAATACGCGAACAACAAGGGTTCAACAGAAAACTAAATTATTTATTTTTATTTTGTAGAGAATTCTTAAAATATGAGCAATGCTTGCAACTCTTAAATACAATTGTATTAAACACCGTCTTAAAAAATAAACTCTTGGAAGAGACAAACATTCTATACAATTTGGAACATTTCAAACAATTGTATGGCCCTATGTCTCAGGTGATTATTATAGATTAATTACATTTATAGAATACATTAAATAGTAAAAATGTAGTTAATTTAGTGTAAATGCATCCAAACTGACCTTTTTTCAATTCTATTATTACAGCTAGGTCAATGGGTCACAATCATTTTGTATAACATGAATATAGACGATAAAGGTGAGAAAATGTGATTAAAAATGTAATAATGATTCTTAGAACAAATTTTGATATTAACTATTGATACCATCGATTTCTATTTTCAGGATTTAAGAAACATGCAGACAAAAATGAAACAGGCATGTTTGACAAATCTGATAATAATGACGATACAATGGAGTTATATCAGAACGTTATAAAACAAAATTATAGTTTTGAAGCTGAAAAAATCTCTAATACTCATAAAAAATCGAAAATATACAAACGTAACTTAAATAAAAATATACAAACCGAAAAATGCTTAAATGAAACAAAAGTTGTAACCATGTGTAAAACAAACAATTCGATTTTACGAAATATGGAGAATTATCCTCATCGAAGTGACAACCTACCAACATCATGTTTACAACGTAAAAATTCTAATAAAAATTCTAAGAAATATAGTTATTGTGAAAATCAAAAAGATGTTAGTCACACAAAAAGTATTTACAATCAAATTAATTCCAATTTAGAAGAATCTCCCGCAAACAAAAATTATACGGAACTTTATGCTGAAAAAAGGGTTACTAATACTGAAGAAGTAAAAAAAGAAAGTATATCAGAATTTAGCTTTAGACCACCGCTTGTATCCACACCTAAAAATATGTATAGAAACAATGTAAGCAGGGCGCACATTTCAAACATGTCTATAAGAAAGTCACCCATAAACAAAAGTTATAAAAATCAACGAATAAAAACTAGCCATATTGAGAGAATAAAAACCGATTGTAACAAAGTTAATGTAAGTTGCCGACAACGCACATTTGGTGCTAGCTTATTCAACGCTATAAATGAATCTTGTACAAGAATAGTAACAAGTATTAGAAATTTATTCAAAACAAAAAAGATCGAAAAACCGCATAAAGAAACTTTCGATAACTCGAACATTGATGTTGCGGATATTGTACACTGTTCTTACAGTTTCACGGACTACATGCTAAAAAGAGAAGCTCTACTTAATGAGCAGAACAGTGATTTGACTAGTTACAGAAATAGTTTCCACAAGGAGTGCGCCAGTTGTAATGATACGCTCACCCTTAAAGAAAAACTCGCAAACGATGACTTCTTAAAAGAAACCGTTAAAAAGCTTAAGAGAGGGCTTCATGTGTACGGGTGTGACTTTAAGGTGATAACAGATTTTTAAGTAATACCTAAGTATATAAGGAATCATAAGGAATGTTCTACATAATTTATTTTATTTGCAGAAAATATCGAAAGCACTATGGCCTCACGAAAGTTACATGAGGCCCTCCGTTCTGTACAATTTGTACCGTAAACTGGTTGTTAAACAATGATATTATCAAGGACATTATCAGAGAAGCATTAATTTTCATGAATTAAATTAATAGGTATAATTATTTAGGTATATTTAAAATAAATATAACGTGGGCAAGACTTTTATGTTTAAGTGAAAAGTTATAATACATATAAGAATATAGGTAATGGTGATTAATTAATTGTAATTGTGATTTATTTTTCTTGTTATTGTCTTTATTTTATTACCAATTTAATAAAAATTTAAACTACTACTCCCTGCGAGGTATAGCCGTATAGCTAGTGCCAAGAACGGTAGCTACGTTTCCTCGCTGAATAGCTATACCTACTTAGCCTTTAAGTGAAAAAACATGTTTTACTTAGAATGGATTTAACCAAACGAGAATTTTATTCAAAAATAAATCAATTTTATGTTCTAGCATTTGCAGTTTTAATGGCATGCCCAGATTATCGGCACGAGCAACTCGCAGTTATTCGTGGAGGATTAGGACGCTTTTACATACTCGTCTGTATTCATTCAACGTCGATCTTTTAAGCATAGATGACGTCGGTGGCAAAGCCTCTATATAGAAAGCTCTCTATAGAAGCCCAGAAGCCGGGTTTGCTCTATCAAAACTGTTCAATCAATAATATCAACTAACAAAATAACTCCTAAACAGTTCTACACAGGTTCAACACTTGACAAATTGCTTACAATTCGAAATACACTGATTCGTGTTCTCGACGGAGATTACGAGCGGGTACACATTGGGCGCTCGGCGTTGCGTTGGGCGCGCGCTTGTAGCATACATAAAGCGCGCTTAGCACGGCGTTTAACGAGCGTTACCAAGGTGTCCATACTACTAGTTCAGTTCGGAAATGGACGTCGAAGTGATCGCTTGTGTGTGGCTTCTATACCGTCGCTATAAAAGAAGACGGCAGAGGCAAAGAGAATATTGGGTGCACCCAATATTACGAGATAGACCGACGCATGGAATGTTTGTAACATTGTATCCAAAATTAAGGCAATATGAACCTAAGTTTTTTAATTATTTTAGAATGTCCATAAAATCATTTGATGACTTACTCCATGTTATTAAAGTAGATATTACTGGTGATTCAACGATTTTGAGAGATTCGATTTCCGCAGAAGAAAAACTCGTGATAACGTTAAGGTAAGTATATTTGTTTATTCAAATAAATCTAAGTTCTCTTAATCTTGGCTGGAGGCTGAACGTGACGGTGACCATGATGACGGCGGTGGTGGCGGCGTGGTAGACCACTGTTGTGTTGTTGAGGGTCTAGCAGTAGTATATCCAGAATATGTCGGTGTAGAATATGTGTATTGGTGATGATTAGTTTCTAGTGGTAATGATTGATGATAATTCTGTGCTTCTTTAATGACATTGAGTAAGTCAATCTTTGTAGTTAAGCGTCGATTTTCGGGCACTTTTTTTAATTCACTGTACAATGATAAACAGAATAGTTTATCATCGTCTTCTTTAGTTAGTCGCCCCATTTCATTTTGTTCCCTTGCATTTAAACTTTTCTGTAAAAAGTCGATTATTTGTTTATCTACAGCATTTATTTTCTGTCTTTTCCTTGGGCCTTCCATTTGATCTTTAGGAGGTGGCATCAAGTCTGCATTGTCTATAATATTATCTACATCTAAACCAGTTGTGCCAGAAGATTGGTAATTGCTCTCTGTGTCGTTATATGCTGTAGAATTCGCAAGAAATTGTAATTTCCTGTAATACACATATGGCGTATGTTTGGAAGATCCAGATCCAGATGGAAGCTTTTTTTGCCTCTTAGACTCCCTAAGATAATTGTCCCGAATGCTTTTCCATTTTTTCATAAGTGTAAATTGTTCATACCTGAAAATAAACAATAACCATTTTTATTTTGACAGATATGTACTTGGCCACAGGCTGCTCTTTCGCTGATTTACATTACGGATACCGTCTTGGAAAATCGACAATTATAAAGATAGTGGAACAAGTTTGTAAAGTACTATGGAGCAAATTGAAGATTACATCTATGCCTGAAATGACAACAGATAAGTGGAAAGAAGTAGAATGTTTTAAGAAATACGCTAACTTCCCAAATTGTATTGGTGCGATTGACGGGAAACATATTGAGCTAATACAACCAGAACATACAGGGTCGCTTTTTTACAATTATAAAACATACTTCTCATCATTCTTACTAGCAGTTTGTGATACAAATTATTGTTTTGTATACGTTGATGTCGGATCCTATGGCAAAACCAGTGATTCTGCTATTTTTAAAAATTCCGAATTTTTTAAACGGATTGTGAATAATAAGTTAAACATGCCTAACCCCAAGCCTATATCAAATATCGATAGAACTCCATTGCCTCATGTGTTCGTCGGTGATGAAGCATTTGGAATTATGTAGAATGTGATGCAGCCGTATGGAGGAACACAACTCACATACACAAAAAAAGTTTTCAATTACAGATTATCGACAGCAAAGCGCTATATTGAATGTACTTTCGGAATAATGAGCAATAAATGGCGAATATTTCATAGACCGATAGATGTAAACATAGATTTCGCGGAGAGTATCATCAAAACTTGCACAGTACTACTACGTTCGAATGCGCGATGGTTACAGATATGAAGATACACTTTATGTTTCACCTCTACAATCTATACATTTAGAAAATTTACCACGAGGCAGCTTATGTGCTAGAACAGCAAGAGAAAAATTTGCCAATTATTTTGTGAACGAGGGAAAATTACAGTGACAAAACATCATAATATAATTATAGAAAACATCAATAAATAATTATACTCACCCAACAGTTTTTTCTTTCCCAAATTGTCTTCACAGTCACTAAAAATTTCAACTATTTCCTCCCAACTACGTTTTTTTAATATTTTATTTTTATAATAAGGACTTTTCATGTCCCATATAGCTGGACGCTTTTGGATTTCGTCGATAAATAAATCTGTATCGAAGTGTTCGATCTCCATGATATACGTGCACCCTACACGAAAGCGCGCGATCAAATGTACAGCAAAATGGCGGTGCATGTATCTACAAACGCGCAGCTGACGCCCGCGCAACGCGCGTTCCAACGCAATTCTGAGAGTGCGCGTCCGACGCGCGCTTGATCTGAAGCGCGCGCTTGCATGTGTACGCTTCAATAGGGACTTTTAGATCTAAAAACTCGCGTTAGTAAATCGCGCGTCTCAAAGCGCCCAATGTGTACCCGCTCTACGACGTCTTCGCTTTGAGACGTCAAAGCGAATACGCAATGGACTGTCAATTTATTCGTCTCTCTCGCACCCATGGGCTTTTTACCGGGCTTTCGAGAAGACAATCGCTCCCTTTCTAACCTGTGGCAAAATGTTCTATAATGAAATATAACTACGATTGTTTACATAACAAATTAGTATAGAGCGCTAAGCTGGGCTTTTGGAACGAAGTTGATTAAAGTGAAGCACGTGCGATACGTTTGCAAGGTCACTTCACATTTCAATGTTTAGTGTTTTTAGCTGTACAGCTACACAGAGTAGTTGTAGTAGTATTGTAGTACTGTATAGCTGTATAGCTACACATGAATACTGCGAGTTGTAAATTTATGCCGTTTTAAAGATTTTTAGTGAAAATTGAGGATAATAGTATTCCTTGTGATGAATTGAAGTGTGTTAAAGTGCTAATCGGTAAAAAAGGGAAAAATCTTTAAAAATTAAATTTTAATTCAAGAAATATTTCTTCCTACTTTAATAGGTACAGGACTCATTAGTATTGAAGTTAAATTAAGCTAGGCATATTTAAAGGTTTATGAATTCAATATTTATATTACCATATGAGTTAAAAATATTATTTTGAACACACGAAAGTTAATAGTTTTTATAACATAAATAAAAGTTAAGTTTGGCATAAAGTTAGTGAATAATTAATTTTCTAAACAGTCGTTACATTTTTTCATAAAAAGTGTGAGCCCGTCACAACCAATGTCCAGTGTTGCTATATTTTTTACACATACATTGTATACGCGTGATATACGTGTTATTGGAGAATTCTGTCCAAGTTTTGTTCGAGAGAATTTGTTTTGTCGAGTGCTGTCAGTCCTAAAGAAAGGACATGGGTTGCGAGGAGGTCTCCGAGGTACGTTAATATTAAATCTGCTCAACAGCTCACTGTCATCAATTTTACCATTGAAAAGTTTATAAAGAAATTTCAAATCAAGAAGAGATCTACGAACTGCCAGTGGTTTCATCCTAAAGTAAGTAAGTTTATTATTGTAGCACTCACTATGACTTGACACCGTAAAACGGAATATTAGGTGTTTAATGAGTCTTTTTTGAACACATTCGATTCTTTCAATGTGGTTTTTGTAAGCGGGAGACCATACTTAACAATATTCAAGTTTGCTACGGATCAAGCTGTTGTGCAGTTGAAGTATTGTTGTTACCTTTTTGAAATCTTTAGACTTTCTAAGAACAAAGCCGAGCAGCCTAAAAGAAGCAGTCACTATAGAATTAATATGTTTATCGAATCTTAATTTGCTATCAAATATCACGCCCAGGTCTCGAATGGAATTGGTTTCCGTCAGGTTTTTACCCAAAACATTATAAGAACTCATTAATGGATTATTTTTTCTTGTGAATTTAATAAAACTACATTTATCCGGATTGAGCAGCATTCGATTTGTTTCACACCATATTACAAGTCTATCAAGATTCGCTTGTAGTTCTAATACGTCAGATTCTTGTTTATCAGTTTAGCTATTTTTAAATCATTTGCGAACAAATAAACCTGACAATTTTTAAATACACTTACTATATCATTAATGAATAGTACAAAGAATAAAGGCCCTAAATTTGATCCCTGTGGAACACTAGAAATAGCATTGAAAGAATCTGAACACTCGCCATCAATTACTACTCTGGCATTACGATTAGAGAGATAGGATTTGCACCAGTTTAAAAATGTATCGGAAATGCCAAAATATGCGAGTTTTTTAACAAGTATATTATGGTCTACCTTATCAAATGCCTTGGCAAAATCAGTGTATATAACATCTACTTGAAGATTTTTGTCAACCGAATCAATAAGATTGGAAACATAATTGAACAAATTAGTATTAGTAGACTTCTTAGGCATAAAACCATGTTGGCAGGGATATAAGTGATCTTTAACATGATTGAATATGAATGGGTGGACAAGTGATTCAAAAATCTTTGATACGGTAGAGAGGATTGATATAGGTTATCGTACCATTAGATACAAGTTCTTTTTTTCTATCTTTGTAAATAGGTACTATTCTTGCTTCTTTCCACTTATCGGGAAAACTCCCTGTCCTAAGTGAAGTATTATAAATTAGTTGTAAGGGGTAGGATATTGAATTTGCACACTTAATTAAGAATATAGGGGGACATTGTCAGGTCCAGCACTCTGTTTTATATCAAGTCTTTTTATTTTGTTTATTATGCATTTTTGGGATATGTATATATTGGACATTTCAGGAAGCTGTGGCTGCGAGTCGAGCAAATATACTGAGTTACTGTTGTTATTTGTTGGGGTGTTATAGACGCTGGAAAAATGCGCTGCAAATAAGTTACAGGATTCTTTTAGTTCGTTTGATTGTTTGTCTCCTAAATACATTGATGGTGGGTATCTAGACGAGTTTTTACGTTTGTTACAAATGTGTGTCCAAAAATATTTTGAATATTGTTTGGTAGATATGTATTTGTCATAGCATGTTTCTGTAAGTATTGCACAGTCGTGACGTAGGTATTGAAATTCTAGTAGGTCTAGGGGATTATTATAGATCTTGTATCTTCTACGAAACTTCTTTTTTGCTTTACCGGATGCCTATTGCCACATTTTTTACTTTTAGGCACATATAGATTAATTATTTTATAAAGTATTAGATAGAATTCATTAACCATGTCGTTAATATTATCATATTTTAAAAGTAAATTTGCCCATAAGATTTCGTCTAGGGCTTTAGTAATCTGATCGCAATCGCCTTTAAAATAGTTATTTTTCTATAATTTCACGTGATTCGGATAAAAACTGGATGGTATTGCAATAGATACTTCTAATGGTGGATGGTGAGTGTCAACATTACGTATAGGGTTGGAACATTCATTAATCTTTACTATTTCGGAGTTACATAAAAATAAGTCTAAAATTTTTTTATTACTATTTGTAATAGAATTAAATTGCTTGAAGTCATTTAATTCCAAGAAATCTAAGAGTAAATTATGTATGTTATTGTTGCCGTTTAAGATCGGTAAAAGATACGTACCAGAGCTATGTTGTTCCAAGATTGCATTTGAAATATTAAAGTCACCTGCTATTAACGTGTGTTTTGTGTTATACTCGTCCATGAATTCTATTTGTGTTATTAATGAATGTTCCAAATAAGTTTTGATTTATGGGTGGTGGTAGGTACACAACACAGATTTTAAGAAATTCGCATTTCTGACCTATAAAAATCTTAACCTTTACTCAAAGATCTTCACATTCAGTATTGCAATTAGATATTCTACAAGATGTTAAATTGTTAGATACAGCTATGAGAACCCCGCCACCAAGTTTATTAATTGCACGATCTCTTCTGTACACTGTATATCTATCGTCAAAGATTTCAGAATCATAAACTGTGCAGTTTCTGTAAGAATTATAATGTCAACATTACTGTTTTGGGTTTTTAATGAGACATCCCTAACGTTCGATCTTAGGCCTCGGACATTCTGGTAATAACATGATATATCATCGTATGATGTGGTAGGATAACCCAGCACATTTGTATAATTTATTGTAATATTTAATAAATTAATTCAATTAGCTTAGACTGTTGAGAGATTCAATATTTTTAATACATTTATGTTCAGATGACTCGGTTTTTCTTACATATATACGTCCCGATTTAATTCATACATATCTATAGCCCATTTATTTAGCTCTAACACGGGTTGCCGCATGAAGAGACTTCATAGCCGGAGATAAATGTTCCCTATGTGACTTGAGTTAAGCTTTTTGTCTTTGTCTTTCTGTTTCTTATTAAAAGCCATTGTCGATGCGAGAAAACCATCTTGGACTCTTGGGCTAGCAAACTTTACGAGTACAAAGCGTGGTTTGGAACTATTTTTATCCATTTTTGATATTCTAGTGCATAAGTGAATATCTGTTTCACTTAATTTATACTCTGTTACATTTGCAATTGATAACAGTTACAAGGTTTTCTGATTTGTGTTCTGGTATACAATGTATTTCTATATTGCTAGCCCTCGAATGGTGTTCCATTTGTGCAAGCCTGGCGCTTAAGTCCACGAATGAACTTTTTAGCTCTTTATTTTCATGTTCTAACTTTTTCAGCAATTCATTTTTAGTTTGTACATCAGCACGAATTTCTTCATATTTTGTTTCGAAGAAATTAAGTGAGGTTGTCAATTGCTCTACACGCTCTATAAGTTCATTGTTTTTTATCTCCATATTTTTAGTAAATTAGTTTCGAAGTTCGAAGAAGAGTCGTGAAGCAAGTTAAATTCATCCCTCACTATACCTCGTATTTCTTCCATAGATAGGTTATTCATGGTAGAAACATGTTTATCCTCTAATTGTGAGTCTTACAACGATGTATTCTGGCTCGAACTCCCGCTTATTTGGTTGTCTGGGACTCCCTGTCGACTTTTGTATCGCATGGTAACATTAGAATGGTCAGAGCCAGGAGGAGCGGATGAGGTATTTGATGGCTTCGAGGTGCTGATGCGGACCGGAGTATTTGTATTGTCATGCTTTGTTATTTTGCAACGACAGGCATGACAGATCCAGGTATTTTTATTATCTTTACTCATTAAACTGAATTTATTTTGAGTCAAGTTTGCACACAGATCATAAGAATCATTACAATTATGACAAACCAAATACTCCTTACGAAGATTTGCAGAGCAGCCTGCACAAGTTTTTGTCATTTTTATATATTTATTTTAGGTGAAGTTCGGTCTTATTAAAATTACTAAGGCGGGTAATTAGCAAACAAAGTATCAACGAAAAGGAACTCGGCTAGCCGCTGCAATGAATCACACGCTCGAACGCGTTTGAGCCCTCACTAGACAAAGCGAGCGTAATCTTTTGTAATATATTTAGTGACAGTTTTAAATGATCTTCTTAATTACTAATAAATCACGCGTGTTATCACTACACTTTATTGAATTTTAGGTTGTTTGAATATTGTTTGATTTGCGACGTATGCAAAATGTATCGTGCAAACAAACTGAATCCGTCGGATAAATGTTATCAACATATTTTATATCGTCATTCGCCTGATGATACCATCAACGTATATGAATTAAAGACTGTCACTTACGGCTTAAGTTGCTCGCCGTTTTTAGCTATCCGCACACTTTTGCAATTAGCCCATGATGAGGGAGAACACTATCCACTCGCTGCAACGGTTGTGCGCGAGGGCGTGTAAATGGATGATATCCTATATTCTTGTAGTTCCTTGTCACAGATATCTCAGTTACAAGATGAACTTATAGCGATGTTTAATTCCGGCGGTTTTATACTTAAGAGATGGGCGAGTAATAGCGGAAAGGTGTTACAACGCGTTCTGTTAGAAAACCGAGAGTGTCCTGTAACATTCCTGAAAGATGGTAACGAATATTCAGTCAAAGTGCTAGGTCTGAAGTGGTTCCCTTTGACTGACTGTATTTATTTCGCAGTAGATAAGACTGACAAAGTAACAACTAAACGTTCTGTTTTGAAATTGTTAGCTTCTATTTACGATCCCGTAGGTTTTATTTCGCCGTTAATTTTCATCGCGAAAGAAATAATGCAAGATTTGTGGAAGCTGGGCATAGGATGGGATGAGCAACTGCCAACTGACATAACTAAGCGCTGGCTTAATTACGTTGAAGATCTCCCGCGACTGACGGAAATTAAGATAGATAGACACATGCTGTTACCAGAACAGTCTGAATGTGAACTAGTCGCCTTTTGCGATGCAAGTTCTCGCGGTTACGCTATATGTGTATATGTGATCAGTCGTAACGACAGAGGTCAGACTAAAGTACGCTTGGTGATAGCAAAATCTAAAGTAGCCCCCGTCAAACCCTTAACTATCCCGAGGTTGGAATTGATGGCGTCAGTTTTGTTAAGCAGATTAATTAAATATGTCCGTGACATTTTAACTCGTGTAAAAATTAATCGTATCACTGCGTTAACCGATTCGACTATCGTATTGGCGTGGCTTCAGACAGAAACTTACAAATTAAAGCCGTTTGTTAGTAACCGTGTTACTCAGGTATGCGAAGTGTTACCTCCGCACTTTTGGCGTCACGTTAGTAGTGAGCGCAATATGGCAGACATCTGCTCGTGCGGGGCGTCTCCGTCACAGCTCTTGGAGTGCAAAGAGCAGTGGCTAAAGGGCCCATCTTGGTTCTACGGTACGGCTCTCTTCTACGGTAAAAAATTTTTCATCCGAAAAAAAGAATTTACCGATATTTTTTCCCGCGTACCACTTCAACAAAGCGCGGCATCTCTTCAGTCTCAAGTCTATTAGACGAGCATTCAAACGAAGTCCTGTTTTTATTCGATATGCCCGAAGCCCTAAGTCTTCTTTCAACACCCTTTTCACCGTGGTTCTGCTTAACCCCATCTGTAGGGCCAACAGTTTCTGCTTACGTTTGGGATTTCTTTAAATTCGCGTCTTCACAGCTTTTATCACTGCTGGAGTCCTAACAGACCGAGGGTGACCACTTCTTGACCTGTCATCTACACTAGAGTCTTCATTGTATCGTTTGATGGAACGATAAACGAATCTTTTGGGTTATATTCAAATTTTTCAGTACGTCAAAAATTTGAATTGGTGAAAACCGCAACGATGCAACGCAATAACTGCAACATGGTCTTCTTTAAGCGTTCACTCCATATTTAAAAATGAGTAAAATTCTAAAAAGTATACAGTTTTATTTTCATGAACAATTCGAATTCAATAAACTTTTTTGTGGCCAGCATTCTAAAAGAAAAGTTTTTACTGTGTGACAATACTTATGACCTGACTAGGTATATACGTTGGTACGTGGGTGTACATGGGCAGTCTATTAGCGGCATAAACATTATTTTCTAGACTGGGGTGAATCTTTTTCAGATGTTGTTGTACATCTAGTGTATCCATGATATTACTGCTATTAGTAGATTATTACAGTACTATCTACTCAATGACTAACATAGGAATGATCAATTATAGTGATTTCTAAATATTAAATTGCATTATTTTGTGTTATACAAAACGTATTTGAGTCATCAATACACTGAACAAGACGCGACACGACGTAATGTTGAGATAAGCAACAAAATGTGAGATAAGCTTGTTGACGCATAAAGTTATTATCAATTCCACTGTAGAAATTCTTTAGATTAGAATTATTACTTACTATATAAGATATATATAGGTACTATATAAGACCAAGCAACTGCAGTCATGGAGTTAGTTTATGGTCGTTTGATCGCAGTGGATGTATCAATACTACGTTTATGTTACTTCAACGCATCAAAGGCCATAGATGTAAGTGTTTAATCTATTGACAAACTTACTTTTCTTTCTGTTATTTTCTTACGTGTGTGTAGTGTTAACAAATTATATTTAAATATTTTGTGTGTGTATATGATTAAACCGTGGTAGCTCAGATGGTTAGCGCAAGCTGTAAATTTCACAGTACGCGACGTGGGTTCTATCCCCGCCGGCACCAATTAAATTGTTAATCGCAATTTTAAGTGTTTATTCTATTGACAAACTTACTTTTCTTTCTGTTATTTTCTTACGTGTGTATGATTTAATGTTAACAAATTATATTTAAATATTGTGTGTGTGTATATAATTAAGCCGTGGTAGCTCAGATGGTTAGCGCAAGCTGTAAATTTCACAGTACACGACGCGGGTTCGATCCCCGCCGGCACCAATTAAATTGTTAATTGCAAGTTTAAGTGCTAATTTACCACGTGCTCGGCGGTGAAGGAAAACATCGTGAGGAAACCTGCATGTCTGAGAAAATTTCGAAGGCATGTTAAGTTCGCCAACACGCATTGAGGCTGCGCCGCGGACATTTCCTAGCCATAAATACAAAGACAATAGCAGAAAGTGAAAAAGTTAAAAATACTTTTTAACAATGACAGTCATTAGTTGATCATTAGTGAATGTGATTCTGTTTACTTAAATTACAGGAAGACAAGAGCAGAAGGAAGAAATGGGATGATAGGAAGTAATGAAGCATTGTTATGTGAAGTTTGTTGGAACAAACATATTTTTAGTCACGTGTAAATACTTTTAACATTTTGGTTCAAAATGACACAAAATCTAAAAACTATTAGATACATCATCGACATGGACGGATTTTACATTACATATCCTCATAAACATTTTCAATGTAGAGAAATGGCTATTCTAGATGTAAACTATCTAATAAAAATGATGCGTTTATCGAACATTATTTGTTTCGGACAAGTTATCCTTTCAATTATTTGTCGCCAAAAGACAAAAAAACTGTTCGTTATTGTGAAACACATGTGCACGGCATTCCATATTTTGATGTGACCGAAGAATTAAAATGTGCCTACAAACAAGAGAACATAATTCCCGTATTAAATTGGTATATTAGAAATTTTTGC